TCCATTCTGCTCTTGGGATCTTGGGCACACATGCACACGTGCCTGGTGTGAGTTTAAGCCACTGGGTCCAGGACTTGAACTGTGGTCGGCTACGTGGGAGTTCAGCGACATAGCCATTACGCTAACTGCTGGTCCCCCAAGTACAAATTTTAAAATGTGCTTTGCTGGGTAAGTTGTGAGCACACACTTCACTCCCTCTTGAGACCGTTGTCCTGCAGCTGCTGTCCCTGACGCCCTCTCAGCGGGTCGTGCTGATGAGCATCAGAGCAGGACCGACCGGCAGCCTGTGCTGGGGAGATAAGCCGCAGTGGGTGATAAGGAGGCCACGGAGGCAGCCCCTGCGCTTGTCCCCGAGGGGCTCACCCTTGCGCAGGCCCAGGTTCCAGGTCTGGGGAGGAAGGGTCAGAATTCAGCCTTGGATTAAAACTCACCCAGAATCCCCCATGAGGTTCAGTTACCACCAGCAGCCACACGCTCGCCTCTCCTCTGGGCAAGTCTGTACAAAACTCAGGTCTGTTCGTTAGGATGTCTTCTTGACCACTTTTCCTCAAATAAAACAGCATCTCCTTTGTTCCCAAACTGTCGTTGGTACTGGGATGAACAAAAACCCAATCCCACCCAGAAGCGCTGAAAGTAAATCTCAGTTTCACTGAAGGCTGCTTGAGTCCCAGGGAACGAAGGGTTAAGGCCACATGGTTGGGGACGAACAAGGTTTAGCTGTGACTTCTGTGTGCTGCTTTGAATGCATGAAACAGAAATGAACCCTCGCAGGCTGGCAAGTGCTGATACGATGACAGTCCACAGACCCTGCCAGACGCTGTCCTGAGGCTGATGACGCAGACAGCTTCTGCGACCTCCCACCTTCACACTTGGCCGACCACACTCCACGCCCCCTGACTCCGCTGGGCCCTTTCCTTTATGTCCCTTCTTTTGGCAAAAGGTCTTTAGGCTTGAAAAGAAAAATGAAAGGCAGCTAGACTTGAGCTACTGTGTGACCATGGCGGGGACAGAACACTCAGACATGACGGGTCGCGTCCTGGAGCGGGCAGCTCAGTTACTGCCCGGCATTCCAGAGGACACCAAGGTGCGTGGGCAGTTTCCTCCTTCATCCTGGTGGGAAGGAACATTTTTAGGCACGAAGAGCCAGGCAGGTCTCCTCCTAACACTGGAGGAGAATAAAGAAGCTAAAACAAAGGAATTTGTGAGGGCGTGACTGGCAAGCAATGGGAAATGCTGATTTCTCTGAGAAACAGAAATCTGCCTTCCACACCGATGATGTGTGAGGTACCGCCGGATGCACGTGACGGCAGTGTACACTCGCAGGTGCTGTGCTCTCACACGTCTGTGTGAGTGTGTGATGCTCCTGTGCCCTTCCCAGTACTTATTAAAGTCCAAAGAGAGCAGTGCAGGAAGGTCGGAAGGAGCCAGGGACCTGAACCCTGCATCGTCACATTGTCTGGAGCGCACCTGTTTTCACCCACTTGGTAAACACCAATATGAAACAATGTGCTGTTACTTTGTACCATGCACCTTCTAAGTTCTGGAAAACATAATGCATAACATCTTCACAGCGCTGCAAGGTGGGCTCCACTGCCCTCACTTAACAGAAGGGGATCCTCAAAGCCCAGAAAGGTTGATTTCCTCTCTGAGGATCACACAGGGACTAGCCGTCAGAGCTGGGACCAAAGCTGTTGACCTGATTCAAGGCCTTTGCTCTTCATATGTCTATATATTTAAAGATTATTTATTTTATTTGTTATTATTATTATTTTTTGGAGAGGTTTTCGCTATAGGGCGCGTGCGCTTGCCAGACAGAGAGAGACATAGAGACAGAAAGTGAGAAATCACCCCCCAGGGGGAATGGCCACGCCGCAATCCCTTCTCCTCCACTTGCTTAGGATCTTCGGCACGCACGCACATGTGCCCGGCATGAGTTTTAAGCCACCGGGTCCGGGATGCGAACGGCGGTCGACTACGTGGGAATCCAGTGATATAGCCATTATGCTAACTACTAGTTCCCTGTTATTATTATTTTTTAATTTGATCAGCGAGATATAGAGAGAAAGGGAAATTGAGAAAGCAGGCCACCAGGTCCAGGACTCAGGCTGAGATGAGCCATGTGAGAGTCTAGCGCCAACCACGCCACCTGCCAGCCCCATGCTCTTTTTGTTTGATTTTTTTTTGGAGAGGTTTTTGCTACAAGGCGTGTGTGCTCTCCAGAAAGACAGAGACAGAGAGACAGAAAGCAAGAAATAATGCCCTGGGGGGATGGCCACGCCGCAATCCCTTCTCCTCCATTCTCCTCTCGGGATCTTGGGCATGCACGCACACGCGTCCGGCATGAGTTTAAGCCACCGGGTCCAGGACTCAAACCGCGGTCGACTACATGGGAGTCCAGCGACACAGCCATTATGCTAACTGCTGGTCCCCTTAGTCCCACGCTCTTAACAACTTTACCAGGCTCTGTTCCACATAGGGGATGGAGACTGGACAAAAGTAACCACCCTGCTACCCGAGGGGCCTATGGTCATATGGGAGGACAGGGACAATAAGCAGAAAAGTAAGAGCCAGTCAGGGCTAGCAGAGGTGAGCAGTGTCATGGAGAAACACCAAATAGAAGAGGGTGCTAGGGAGACTACAGACTTAAACAGGTCATCCGAGGTCTTCCTGCAAAGGCAGCATTTGCACCCAAAGTGGTGGAGAGAGGACACTGTTTGAGAGACCCGTCCCTCCTGGTAGTGGCGAGTGGTGTAGGCAGGCTGGCTACATGACCTGAGTCACAGTGAGTGTTTCACCTCCCCCTCCCCACTGCGGTGAGGGCCCTGAAGACAGAGGTGGGTGTGTCTCAGGAACTTAATGCACTGCCTTGCACATCTGGAGACCCTGGCTGGGCACCGTGCTCCTGCAGGCAGGCAAGGTGCTGGGCTCTGGCCACAGGTGGGTCTCCCTCCACTTGCTCCCAGGCCCTGCCCGGGAAGAGTCTTCTCAGGGGGGTGAGTATCTTCTGTACTAACCTCCTGGGAGATTCTGAGCCTACCTGGATTCCGCCTGTTTATCAGAGCGCAAAAGAAACGAGGTCAGCTCATAGGCCCGGGCCCCCGTGACTGTCTAATTTTACTGTGCGTCTAACAGTTGCTAACCCTAGTTTAGGGGGTTCCAGAAACCAGGTAAGAACACTACGTCCCTTTGCACTCATAATCCACACAGTTTGGATGATTAACATTTCATCTCACAGATGAGGAAACCAACCACACAGCACAGTGAGAGGATTTGATCAAGGTCACAGCTGGTGAGCACAGACAGGAACCCAGGAAGGCTGAGACCACGCGTCATACTTGACACACACTCCTGCCAGTCCAGGGCCTGGGCTAGGGTCAAGGCTGACAGGACAGGCACGTCAGTAGAGAATTTCAGTAAGTGCAGGGAAGATCCACAGCCATGGGGCTAGGGTAGGGGGCACAGTGGAAGGATCTAAGGCATCATAGTGGTCAGGGAAGGCCTCCTGGGGGAAGGGGCAGCTGAGTTGAGCCATGAAGAATCACTAGGAGGCAGCCTGGCGTATGCAGAGTTCTAGACTCATGAGGACCCCAAACTATGTTTGGAATTTGCCAACAGGACCTACAAGGGACTTTGAAAAGCTCACACAAAGATGCAATTCAAGTATGAGTTTGTTTTGGTGCTACAAAAGGTTTGAAATCCATGCATAGTTTTCCATAACATGCATTTTTTAAGACCCCACCCCCTCTTGTACATGCCACTTGCCCATGGGAGAGAGTGCAAGGAGGGAACGTGTTCATCTGTGTGGGAGGCATGGTAAGGGCACGGGTCAGCTCCTGTTCTGCCACTTGCCGAACCACAGACTCGGAAGCACTGACTGGAGACATGGCACCCTGGGCACCCACGTCAGCTCCTGGAGCTATCCCCCAAACTCTAACCGGAAGTGCTATTTTTAGCCCTCTGAAAGCTCAGCAAACAGGTTCAGAGGCCTTGGTGCTGCATCTGAGGCCACAGGCTGGTGAACGGAGGGGTGGATCTACACCCAGGCAAGGGGACTCCATGGTTGGGGGTGCTCACATGGCTATGCTGTTTTCGGGTCCCAGCTTGTCACACCCACATCTGCAGACTCCGCTACTTGCTACTGCTTTTCTTTAAAGAGACCCACTTAAAACAAAAATAAAAACAAAAAACCGGGACCAGACAATGGTGTGGAGTTTAAGGCAGCCGGACCCCACATGGCCACTTGGTGGTTTGAGGTCCTGACCCAGCTGCTTGAAAAACACGACAAGCATGTGAACGTGAGTGCCCAAAATCTCAAGAGAGGGAGGAAAAGGGACTGCAGAGCGGCCATCCCCCCTGGAGGGCAATTCCTCCCTTTCCTTCTCTCTCTCTCTAGCAACCACAGGCACCCTCTAGCAAAAACTTAAAAAAAAAAAAGAAAACAACACCCCCCCTTGATAGTTATGTTAACTGTTCTGAAAGGAAACGCGTTTTCACTTGCACCCATGGAAGACAACCAGAATGAAACATCATAAACAATCCGCAGTAGAGCTTGCCAAAGAAGCTTGCTCTTCCAGTGAGCAGCAGTGTGCCTTGGGAGGTGTCAGATTCAGCGGTACCCGGGAGGGTTTCTCCTCATCCCAGCAGGTGACAACAAAAGGGAATGAAACTGAAGATCAAGTTCCCAAGTCCGGGCCCCAACTCCATTTCTCTCGCCTACACCATGGTCCTGGCGACGCTCTGGACAACTTGGGCTCCACCATAAACCGTGTGACCTTGGTCAGAGCACCGTACCTCCCTGAGCCTCAGTTTCTCCAGTTGTCAACTGGAGGATCGCTTCCTGGGCTTGTAGGAATTTGGAGCCTCGGGATCCCGGAGGTCCTCGGTCTCGAGCAGCTGCAAGTGCAAAGCTGTCCTTGCGGCGAAGGCCCGCCCTGGTACGGCTCTCCGGGACCGTGTATGGGGTGCTCTCCCCGGAATCAGGGTGGGAACGAGGAGCTTACCTGGCGGCCACGGCAGTTGCCGTGGGCGGTGCGCAGCAGCCGGGGGTCTGGCCTGGGCCGGAGCAGGGCCAGGGCCAGGGGCGGTGGGGCGCAGGGGGCAGCGGCGCCCAGGAGCCAGGTGGCGCGAGGCCCGGTCCGCCCCCCAGGCCCGAGCCGCCCCAGCTGCCCCGCCATGGTGCGTGACGAGGCGCTCGGGTCCGCACAGGAGACTGGAGGAGCAGAGGCCAGAGCAGCGTGGGCGGAGCTGGAACCGCGCGCGTCCCTCCGGCTCCGCCCGCCGGTTCCGCCCCTTTAGCCGCCGCCCGCGCGCGGGGGGCGGTGCCAGAGGCCGAGCTAACCTCGGAGTAGGCGGGGCCGGGCCGCGTGTGCGCGCGTCCCTAGGCCCCGCCCACCAGCCCCGCCCTTGAATCAGCGAGTGGGCGGGGCCCGAGTCCAAGCCAACCGCCGAGGGGGCGGGCCCAAATCCACGCCCCTTCCCCTCGGCTCCGCCTGGTAATCCCGCCCACCGAAGCGGGGGCCCGGGTGGGGTGGGCGGGGCTGGGGTCCGGGCCCGGCGCGGGTGGGCGGGGCCAGAGGCGTGTGCCTGCGGCCCCGCCCCTCCTGGCGCGACCCGCTTTTTCTCCCCTTCCAGGTGAGTCTTCGCCGGTCTTTGTAGGGGTCTTGGCCTTCCAAACTAACCACTTGGTGTAGGTGACGAGGTGTTTTATTCTGTGGTCTAGCGCCTCAGCCCGTGAGCTTTCCTCCTAGAGAAATGGGTGAAACCCGAGAAATGTATAGATAGATACGTAAAGGAAAGTAAGGGAAGGGACATACTAACGCATGTTTGGTTAAAAGTCCTATAAATGTCCCTTGTACATCATTTCTGTGACTGTGAAGCGGTGCACACTCTGGAATACTTCGGCAATTTCTTAAAAAGTTAAACATGGCGCCAGCAGGGGGCTCTTTCTCACTGTCTGGCTAGCGCATGTGCCGCATAGCAAAAAGGAAAAACGGTGAAGCGCGCACTAACGTGTAGCTTAGCAGCTCCACCACTCGAGCTGCTCCGGAGAAAACAGACTCATTCTCATCTCAGGGCTAAATGTGAAGACACCGATATTCTCAGCAAGTCCGTTCATCTTAGTGAAAAACACACACACACATTGGGAGCAAGCCAATGTCCGTGCCGGGAGAGGCTGGCCCTACCCAGTCACCCCTGACTGAATGCACAGCCCTCCAGTCAGGGACCACCAAGGCCACAGGAGGAAGAAAGTTCCCATGCACAAGTAACACGGGTGACTCTCAGAGCCTTGTGCTTAGTGAAAACATCCAGGCACAAAAGCCGCATATGGTAGGATTTCATTCACACAAAATGTCCAGCACAGACAAAACTGGAGACCCAGAACAGATGAGGGGTTATCTGGGGCGGAGCGTGGCAGCTGGGATGGACAGCGAAAGGCGTGAGGGAAGGACCCTAAACACAGATGGTGAGGATGTAGCTCTGCTATGCCATTAACCAGCAGGTGGCATAATGATTACATTGCTGGACTCCGGTGTAGTCGACTGCTGTTCGAGTCCTGGACCTGGAGGCTTAAAACGCACGCTGGGTGTGTGTGTGTCCAAAATCCTGGGAGGAGGATGGAGAAGGGATTGTGGTATGGCTGTCCCCCCCGGGGGGTGATTTCTCACTTTCTGTCTCTGTCTCTCTGGCAAGGACACATGCCTTATAGCAAAAATTTCTTTAAAAAAAAATAACCAGAATGTACACTTAAAATGGGTGAAAGTTATGCTGTATAAATTATACCCCAAAGAAACTGTTTTTAAAAGACCTCAAGGGCCAGCAGATGGCATAGTGATTAAGGCACTGGATCTCACATGGCCGACTCCATGGTTCAAGTTCTGGACCTGGGGGCTTGACAAACATGCTGGGAGCATGAGTGTGTATGCCAAAATTCTGAGAGAAAACAGAGAAGGGATTGCAGTGTGGCATCCCCCCGCGGGGGAGTGATTTCTCACTTTCCCTCTTTCTCTGTCTCTCTCTGGTCAGCGCATGCACCTATGGCAAAAAAAATCTGAAAAAAAAAAAAAAAAAGCCCTCAACATGTTTTTCAGCTCAACCAGGCATGGAAATAAATCATCTTGCACGTGTGAGCATTTGAACGTGTTTATTGTGGTCTGCAGGATGGGGTGCAGTCCAGCTGCTTGATCTGGGGCTTGTGACTCAACCTTTCTGAGCTGCAGTCTTTTAATCTGTAAAATGGATTGTTGGGGCAAACTCCGACACTGTCTTTGGAAAGAGCCTCTCCCAGTGCCTGGTACAGAGACAGGGCATTCATGTGAGTGCTGGTGTCACAGAGGAGACTTACCGGAACCTCTGTGTCACCCAAGGGCTGGGCTGACCTGACCCGAGGTCCTCACAGGTCCCACGTTTTCTCGTCACCAGCCTTCTTTGTTTAGGTTTCCTGTCCTGGCTTCACAGGCAACCGAGTTTGCAATTCCTACTGTGTGCGTATTACAACAGAAGAAAAACACATTTTCATTTTTCCCTGTAAATTTGACAGTAGCTATAATACTGTAATGATCGACTTTCAGTGTTTTTTTTCTTCTTTTTCTTCTAAAAGTGATGAGAAATCTTTCTTCCTTTTTACAAATTGTATTCAAGCTGCTGCCTGTCTGAACCCGAGACATGTCCCTCCCGTTTTCCTATTGTCTCAGTTCTCTTTGTCTCTCTGGAGTGGTAGCTCATGTAGGCGGTCTATTCATTTTGATTTTCTTCATTTTGATGAATACATAATGTATTCTCATGGCTCAGCTTTTATTCCCCCAGCAGGCGTATTTATTAGCGTTAAACAGAAGCCCCTTCTTTCCTCTGACACCAGGAAGTCACACCTGTGCAGTTCCAGGCTCCTGAGCGGGGTCCCTCTCCCCCACTTCTCAGCAGACTCAGCCTTGGCGGTCGCCGGAGCGGCCCAGGGCTGCCAGACTCTGTCTTCCCGCTCGTCATTTCCATGGTGCCTATTCTCAGCGCTCTCCTCGTCCAGAGCTGGCTGGATTTCCTCCATTTGCTCCGTGAGTCTGTCTTCCTCCTGAAGAAGGCCTTGCCATCTTCAGCCATCTTCTTTACATAGTGCCCGATTCCTGCGGTGATGAGCATGTGTTCCTCGCCCTGTGAGTTCCTGGTGACGTACACAGAACTCGTCAATGGGACGAGGAATTCTTGCCCCTTCTTGCTCTTGCTCGGTACGTTCAGATAGTCCTTGGCTTCTGTGTCCTTAGTCTGTCCCACCTTGAGCTGGGCCGTGGACATGGATGAGAACTCCACTCCCTGGTCCAGCTGGTTCTTGAGAGTTTCTAGTTGTGGGAGGTTCAGCTCCGAGATGTTAATAGACTGCGCCGTTCTGGGGAGGAATTGGTTCAGATGTTCAAAGGTACAGAAAGGGCTGGGGTCCAAGCCTGGAGTGGGTGGGCAGGGCTGGAAACGTGTGCACATTGGTTCACCCTCTAGCTCCCCCACTGGAGCCGGAGTTCAGAGCAGAGTGGGCAAGGCTGGGGACACACTTCCCTGGATACCTGGGGTGAGTCTTTGCCTGTCTCTGTAGAGGTCTTGGACTTCCAAACTAACTGTGGAGTATACAGTGAAAAGTTTCTTTCCTGGGCCAGCAGGCAGCATAGTAGTCAAGGCACTGGACTCCCACATGGTCTACAGTGGTTCAAGTCCTGGACCAGGCAGCTTGAAACTCTCTCCGGATGTGTGTGTACACATTCCCAAAATCCCAAGAGGAGAATGGATGAGAAGGGATTGTGGCATGGCCATCACCTCTGGTAGTGGGGGTGACTTCTCACTGTCTCTCTACTCTTTGGTGAGCGCATGTACCCTATGGCCAAAAAATTAAATTCCTTCTCATTCCATTCCCAATTCCCCAGTTTTACATGGGTGCAGGTGGGTTCCTACAAAGGTTTCCATTCCTATTATCCAAATGGAGCATAGTATTGACAGTGTTTTGTGCCTTGCATTTTTTGCTTCGAATGTATTTTAGCTTTTTCTATATCTGTACATGAACACCTTCCTTATCCTTTAAAAAAGTTGTTTAGCACTTCAGTGTTTTCTAGAATACTGTAATGTATGCAGCCAGTCCCCTGCTGTCGTCAGTCTATTTTCAGTCTTTACACTCACAAACCGAGCTGCAATGAATCGCCTGTTAGTTTTGTCATGTCCTCTGCCGAGGCATACCTGTCTGGTCGATTCCCCGAAGTGGAACTGCTTAGTGAGGGTATACGGGTATTTGTGCATTCGAAGAAATGGCAAAGTTGCACCCCATAGAACCTGCCAAGCGTGAGAGCAGCTCTCTGCCCTCACTCCCAGGTGGTGGCTTTAGCAGGGAGGGGGTGTGAGATGGGCTGCTGCTGCTGCTTCTGCTGCTTCAGTTTGAGCGTCTGACATCAGAGACAGCCATGCGAATAATATTGAGAGCTGTATTAGTTTTCTTTCTTTTTTTAAGTAATTGTTTTATTTAACTTTGTTTATTTATTCATTTTTAATTTGACCAGAGAGGGATGGGGAGGGGACCCAGAAAGGAAGCCACCAGGTCCAGGACTCGAACTGTGGTCAGCCATGTGGGAGTCCAGCATCCTTAACCACCACGCCACCTGCTGGCCCCAAGAGTTGTGTTAGTTTTCCCAACTGCCTTGAAAGATTTTGAGCTTTAAACATACACATTTATTATCCCATAGTTTCGGTAGGAGTCTCAGCATGGCTTACCCAGGACTTCTGTTTAGGATCTTCCTGGGCTGGCTGGGCTGTGGTCTCATCAGAGATTCAACTGGGAAGGATGAAGCTCCAAGCTCCTGCAAGCTGTTGGCAAGGTTTATCTTCCCGTACTTATAAAAGCGAAGGCCTGAGCTTCTCACTGGCTGTCAGCTGGAGTCCTTGGAGGCCCTGGAGGGTCTGACAGTTCTCTGTCATGGGCCCCCATGGGCTTTGCTCAGCGTGGCTGTCGGCTCTTGAAGGCCAGCAGGAGTCTTTGCATTAATATCTTCTCTCTCTTTCTCCCTCTCCCTTTCTTCACCCTCCCTCTTTTCCCTCACCTTCCCTTTCTCCTTCTCTTTCCTTTCCTCCCTGTCTGCTAAGATGGAGTCTTTTTTTTTTTTTTTGAGAGATTTTCACTGCAGGGTGTGTGTGCTCACCAGACAGACAGAGA